AGTCCCAGTGGCTCGGGGCTCCATCGGCAGCCGGCTCAGGGCCACAGGAGCCTGGAGAAGAAGCCGTGTGGCCCCGGCTGCGGCACTGGGCAGGGGCCCAGCTGCCAGCCCCATGCACCGAGCGCCAGGGACAGGGGGCTTCTCCAGGCTGAGGCTGGGCCTTCCAGGCCGTCCTTACCAGGCACTCGCCGAACCTCCATGTCTGGTCCACCTCCAGCATCTGTTCAATATCTCTCCTCCTCAGGAATCTGGCTGAAGAATGCAGAGTTTCCCGGGAAGCCTGGAGAGCAGCAGAGACCCGCAGATGGCCCCACAAGCAAGGGCACAGGACCCGCATTGGTGTGCCGAGGCCTGCAGGAGGCTGCAGCCGGCAAGGTGCCAGGCCTGCAGGAGGCAGCCGAGCCCCCTCCCCGGGTGACAGCAGCAGCCCTGTATGGATGCTAAATCTGAACCAGAGTGCCTGTAGTTATTACAGGCCACATAGCTCTCAGGCCTGACTGAAGGCTAGCCTGAGAAATTCATGAGAAGGAATTAAAACAATTCTCAGAGACACTAAACAGCCTTGCAGGTGTTGTTTTGCAGCTTCTTGTTTCTCCTTGCAGGAGAGAGTCAGGGGGGGCAAAGTGCCCCTGACCAATGATGGTGATGTAGTACTTTGTTAACCAATAAGAGTTTCCTTTCTGTACTTTCCACGTATCTGTCTATAAGACAGGGCTGAAGCAATAAACTAAGGAATTCTCGTGTTGTGACTCCCTTGAGAGTCCATTGTCGTTCTTTAAAGCCGTTCCCAATCGGAATGACAGCACTGGAGTCCTCACCTCTGCCACCTGCTGGTTCTCGTCGTGGCAGTGGAAGAAGAGTGGCAGCAGGCTCTGGTGCACGTGTGACTTCAGGGCCTTTCTTCCCTCTTCCATGAATAAATCTATCATCTTTTGAAAGACAAACATGGATACCAGCTGCACCTGGCTATCATCCTGTATGAAAGGAAGGAAAAAAGACTTCAGCTTTGGCTGCTTCCCACCCACTTTTGACTGGCCTGCAAATCCACAGGGCACAAAATGTCTGTGCAGCACCCAGTGCCTGTGGCTAGAGACACAGAACCTTACATTGTCAAAGAGTGCCAGGAGCACCTCAGCCAGCTGCTGGGCGATGGGGCTGGCTATCGGGGTGCTATTATACAGGAACAAATATTTGAGAAGAACTATGGTCATCCTGACCACGTCACTATCATTTTCCTGCAGGAGCTCCAGCAGGCTTTCAGTCAGGCTCCACATTTTCTTGGCCTGTGGGGAAGAGAAGTCTGTGAAACCCCACCCTGCTGCCACAGGGCCCAGAGGCCAAAGGCACAGGCTAAAGCTCATCTGCCCGAGGCTAAAGCACTCAGGCAGATGAGCTGGGAGGAAGGAGAGTTGGGAGCAGCTGCCTCGGTGCCCAAAGCCCAGCCAATCCCAACAACTGCATTCCCCATCCCTATGCTGCCCGCATGGCTTCAGCCACTGCCCCCTTCTCACCATGGACGGATTCTTGGCAAGCACTAGGAGGCCTCTGAGTGCCAAGCAATGCCTCTCTCTGCACTCGCTCTGCAGATTCTGTGACATGATGTCCAGGATGCTGTCACAGTATTCACTCAAGTCCAGGTAGTCCAGGATCTGAAAGGCACAGGGCAGTGACAGGGGAGCTGGCCAG